CCCCCCCCCCCCCCCCCCCCCCCCCCCCCCCCCCCCCCCCCCCCCCCCCCCCCCCCCCCCGCCCCCCCCCCCCTAAACGTAATGATATTATTTTACCATAATACTAAGTTTGGATTTCTAATAGCATTAGCATTAATATTTGTTCCAGTATTTGTTGGTAATTGTGTAATTATTATTCTGTATGTTAAAGTATGCTAAAAAAAACTGATTACAGATGTTCCAGCGAAATGATAATTTTTGGTGAACTATAGAGTTGAATAATTTCTCTTTGAAATAGTTGAACTTTTATATGCTTGGATTTCAGACTGTACGTGTAGAAAAGTATATATATATGTATTACATGATTAAACAATTTTTAAGAAAAATATTGTTTCTAGGAAATTTGATCTCATTTTGTTAATTTTGTCATCATTACATAATTTAATAATTTTTCTTGATTATCAAATATAGAAATAGTGGACACACCAACAGAAGCAGCGAGCACACTTCCGGATACTACTGCATCAGAACCAACAGCCAAATCATTAACTTCAGTAGCATTAGCCGAAGAAACTATACAACGGTCTGCTAATGCGACAGAAACTACGAGCGAATCATTATTTCCTGGTGCAACAGGGTCCAGTTGTGTTCAACTGTCTCTTGGAACACCTAATAGATCTGAATATGACATAATGATTGAATAAAGTACGATTTAATAACTTGAAAGAACAATACTATAATAGAGAAGTGAAAAAACAGTTAAATGTAATAATGAATGCGGAAAAAGCTGTTTGTATAGAACTAAAGGTCTCTTCATATCTGACGTCTTCTCTGTTTCTTTTCCCCATTTCATTCATTATACATTCTTTATATCTCATTGTTCTGTCGTTATTGTGCCTGCGTATAATATATTTCATATAATATATTTTTTCTAAAGGCATTTCTAATTTCGCCCAAATCAGTACAAGTTAACTTATCTCATAACAGACAATCTCTAGCTAAAATTTATAGTTTTTGCCTAGTGAAACCTTAAATTTTGATTTCGGCTTGAGAATGCTAGTCAGATTCTAAATTTGGCTGAACAAACTTCAGCCAAAATTGAAATTTTAATTTTGGCTGAGAATCGTCAGCCGAATTTTAAATTTTTTCTTTTGTGCACAAGAATCTTGGGGATAGCGGAGAGACCTAAGAAAAAGCTTTCGCACAGCTAGCTCACAATTGCCAAAGTCTAGATAAGGCAGTCTGGCTGAAAAGCTCGGATACTCACACGTGTTCTTTTGTCTAATTAAGGTAAAATTCAATCGTTAACGTCTTCGGCTCCGTATGGCGAAATGTTATGGATATTATGTACCTCTGCTAAGAACTATTGAATTACTGTTAGCAATGCCAGAACTGGCTAATTCCATGCAAATTTACCAGTCTACTCAGCATAATATAATGAGAGATTTAACAGATGGTAATTTTGTACAGAATCATCAGTGCTTTGGAGATCAGTCTACACTAAAAATTATATTATATGAAAATGGGATCGAGGTCAGTAATCCTCTTCGGAAGAAGAAGAGAAATTTATCGTTATTGTACATAACATTAGCTAATCTTTACCGTTTTTCTAGATCAACAGACAAAGCCATACCGCTATTAGCCATTTGTGAAAAAAAATTTGCAAAAAAATTTGATTATCGAAATTATTAGAACTGCTAGTGTATGAATTGACTCAGCTGCGTAAGAGAGTAATATTTTCGATAAATGGAGTACAAACAAAATTATCGGGTGTTTTGTTTTTAATGCTTGGAGATTTGTTATCTATTCATACATTACACGGTTTCAAATGCGGGTTCTCTAAAACAAACAGACCATATTATTTAGTAATGCCCGAACGCAGAGATATGTATAATACGTTCAAAGCGGTGGATCTTGTACATCGAGAGACGGATATGTATGAACAGCAATGTGAAGAAATTTGTCCGGCGACTACAAAAACCGCAAAAGTAAAATTTTAAAAACTGTACGGTTTTAAATGAAAAGTCGTTGTTTAGTCTTCTACCAACTTTTGATATTTTTCATCAGACGGTGATTGATTGTATGCATTTACTGCTCGAAGGCATTTGCCGTCGAGAGCTACATATGTTCTTTAAAACGCTGGATGAAAAAAGACTTGTGACGTAAACAGCTAACAAATACGATCAAAAATTTTCCCTTGGCTTCGTTTGAACTGAAATATGCTCCGTCTTCAACCTTCGAGATTCAAAAAAATTTGACGTTAACAATCCTATTCCACTCAATGTTATTAAAATGCTTTATCTGATTAAAAATCTTCTGTTTATTATTGGACTGATAAACGACGCCGTATTTGATCTAGCTGAATAGAAAGTATTTCTTCTTTTACATAATATTGTTAGCATATGTTTTGCGTCTGAAGCGGATGCTCAAACAGTAGTGCAACTCAAAGATGCAACAGAGCTGCACAATGAACTATATGCGAAAGCTACATTAAACTAAATGCGAAGACACATTATCTTCGTGTCGAGATTTCATTAAAAATATCAGTTTTTCTTCTTCTTCGAAAACTCTAAACTAAAATTCTAAACTTCTTCTGCTTCCTCTTCTCCTTCTCTCATCTTAAGAGAAAAGAAATCATTATTATCATCTCCAATCGTCTTCTTCTTCTCTTATCATACAGAAGAAGAAATACTGCTATAATTTTATAACTAAATTTCACATTTAGTTTATATTTAGTATTCTTTTAAAATTATAAAATATAATTTAGTGTTTTCATTTGCATTACTATAATTTCGTTCTGCGCTCTTTCTCCTCATCAACTTTCGTCAATTGAAGAGAAGCCGATTATCAATTATTATCATCAACAACCATTAGATATTATTATTAACTGTTACTATTTCATCATTGTACATTAGTTTTCCTGTAAAATATTTTATGATAATAATAATTGTTGTTGGTGTGTAAAACCGAACTGGGCAAATCGGCGCAACACCTCAGCAAAATCGGCGGGCCAAGGTCATTCATCTCCAGAACGTTACCTTATTCGGTCCATACCCAGTCCACTTCAAATACCAAT